AGAACCCACTTCCTTCTTGATTATCAGCAAAAGAATTTTCTTCTGCATAAACAATGTTGAAATGCAGCTTGTGAGGATGGTGAGAATGTAAGGTATTTTAAATATAAAGAGTGTAAAATATAAGCCTGTAGCAAGATCACTGACACAAATATGACAAAACCAATGTCTTTGTTCTGCAAGCAGAATAAAATCCTCGTCCCTTGATTATAGTAGCATGTTATACCATAATGTCATGACCTTCAGTTTGACATTGCACTCTTTTAGTAATCAACCCAATTGAAAATACATCTTATTTTAGAAATGTACCTAATCTTCAAGATATACCAAAATTTAATTAATTCTAATCAAAGTGATCAGAATATCCTCTAATAATAAAATCTTCATCAGACTTGGCCAATATAATTTTACTCCAAGACTTGCAATCATTCAATATTTCATCTCTGAAACACCTGATGATAACAAACCAAATAAAATCCAAATAATGAACTCACTTTTTCAAACAAAATTTTGTTTTCTTGAGAGTTTCTTACTCAGTGCCTTCTAGCCCTTTAGAATCTTCCACAATCTATGGAGTAACAAATTACCGAGATGATGTTCCAACATCTGGTTGAACATCAATATCTTCATCAATGAACACATCACTAATTTTGATTATGAAGTTATTATCACTAAAAGTACTTCTCCCAATAGAGTAACTCAGAAACATACATTGTTCTCATTCAAGGAGTAGATAAGAACCTTTGAAGACTTTACAGATAATAGATTCACTTTACAAAAGAAAACCATATATACCTTTCTATCCACTAGAACCTTAACCTTCCATTGAACCAAAAAGATCCATGGAACAGGTTCTAGAGCTTTTGAAACTGTCTGATGTTGCAACTTTTAGTGTGACATCTTGACTTCTTCTTTCTGGAACACCAAGTAAAAGGATAAACAGTTAAATACTCATGAAATCCACAAATAACAATTGTTCTTAAATCATCAGAGGAACTTCAAACATCTCATTAGAGACAGATCATTCTTCCTTGATGAAAAATACCTTAAGACCTTGATCACAAACTTGTTTATCACAACAATCATCAATCCTTAAGTTAGAAGAAAACCAATTACCAAAAATTAGAATCCATCCTGAATTCTTTTAGTTACCCAATGCCCTTAATCATTCCTTTTGTATCAATAACATAATAAATAATGATGGAATGAGACTTAAACAAACCAGCAGGAACACTTTTAGTGTAATTAAGTGTCTAGAACAATTAGTGTCAAAATACCAAACATCTTAGTTGATGATCTAAGAAAGGTATGAGAGATAAGGCAATATTCACCTTCCCCGAGTATTAACCACTGCTTGGTTAAACAAAATGATCTTGACCTTTTGAGAAGGTAACCAAAATTATTATCAACTTTTCACAGAAGAGACATCTTAAGTGCAAGTAAATTCATTTAGCATGAGTAAGCTGATGTCCAACATAATGTTATGACATCCTTGACTATGTTTTCCTTTTGATAACAACAACCTTTTGTCACTTTGATTTTTCTCTTTGCCAAAAATATCTTGAAAAACCCAAACCCTTCAAATAATCTCTCCACATGAGGAACCTTCTTCAACATAACTGAACTATCCTTTCAGACTTGATCTTTCATATCAAGTTTTTAGGATTAATAGAGTCACTTCACCTTGTAATTTATAAATGGTAGACAATCATTCATTTTTTAAGACATAAGATCAGAAATAAATCACCTCATATTTCTTCATGGTTGATAACATATTTTATTCTAGATACACAAATATTTGAATAAATCATCTAGCATATCATGAGATGATTCTTCAAAAATAAAAATCTCCATTAGAAGTCCATCTTCCAGTCAAACCAGATATAGAAAACCTACACAGTTTCTCTTTAGATAAGTAGGGCATTATGCTCTACAATGATCCAAGGTCATACACTCATGTGAGTGCTTTGACATTGATTGATCAATACTCCAATTCCAACCTTTTTCTTTTTAGCATCACAGACATGTTGAAGTTAGTACAGATGTTCTGGACATCTGGTCTAGACATTTTGTCCAAAATCTCCAACACCTGATTGGATTGCCATTTGAGGACCAAAATAGTAATAAGAAACCCTTCATTAGAGACCAGAGTGCAATTTCCTATAAGTTGGAAAAAGAAAGCTCTTGTTGTTTTTCAATAGCTTGTCACTTTTCATGTCAAAATTCTTAATTTGAAACCTGAGAAAACTTCTTCTTGATCATTTTCACATATGAATTCTTTTCTTCTAAACACACTTAGACGTGCCTTTATGAGTGGACTTGAGAAATTCCCAAGTATCTTTGGCTACAATGCAAGTGATGCAGAGAACTTACCAACTTCATAGATCATTAATTTGATAATTTCAGAGTGAAAAAGAGCCAACACAACCTCTTGCCTTTTTTCTCTTCAGAGCCAGAAATCTTTATCCTCATAATTCTTCAAGCTCTGCTGTCTATTGATAACTAAAATGATACCACTCCAGTTTTCCACTAAGAACAGTAGTACCAAAAAAATACTCCCTAAAGCTCACCCGATGAACAAGGGTGCATGCTCTGATACCAATTAAAGATTTCTCTAGTTTAGGTAATACATGGTAATACTGATTTTCCAACATCAGAACAATGTCAAGACAGATGTTACAACATTTGATTTGACATCCTGAACAGATTCATCAAGTTATAACCAATACTAAAACTTAGACTGCAGAATGATAAATAACACATAAAGTTGTTAACCCAATTTGGTGCAAACTCACCTACTCTGGGGGATGCCAAGATAGGAAGGAAGTCCACTATTAACAGTATTAGTTCAAAGCTAAACAATCCCAGTTTACAAATTCTCTCCTAATCCCTACCCAATACAACTTCTACATATGAACATCCTAAGTATGAGAGATTTATATATGACTTCCTAAATCACCTTAGTGATATCTAACAGTCCCAATTCCAATGATTGTATCGAGTATAACTCAAAAATAAAATCATACTTTCATTATAATACTTTGCCAAGACTCTTGACTAATAAAAATACTTAGATTATCTTAAAAGCTTCATCCAAGAACAATACCCAACTCATTGCCTAAAGGCTTGTGAGTGAGAACATAATGTCGACCACAAGTATCAAAAGATACAAGGGTGACTTAAACCACACAATACACAAGAGACTCTCAAAACCTAAGACTATTTCCCCCCTAATTTTACAATCATTGAAAGAATTAATTTACATTAAGTTAGGTTTTCTCTTTGAATACACCTCTGCAGTCCACGGGCTTCAAATTCTATATCCAAAAGTTCCTTGATTCATAAGCTGAGTGGTGCACCAATTGTGCAGCAAAATCTCCTTAAATAATGGAACAAACAATGAAAAGTTCCCTAAATTGTCTTAAGGCCAAATTTAGTAACTAATGTACAACTGGAGATATAAAATTGTTCCAAAACAAATCTTCTTGACCTACGAAAATATATGATATATATCCAAAGGAAATATAATAAAATAAAATCAAATCTACCAAGGTTTAAAAAAAACAGCACAAGCATGCTGCATATCAGAACAAGATGTTACAATATCTTGTTCAACATCTGGTGGGAACCATGTTTTAGAAAAATGTTGCCAATCCATAAATCCATGGTACTAACAAGTGTAACCGGGGAATTGGGTTGAGAATCTTTGGGGGTTCCATCTAGAAAAACCTTAGGGGTTTTCCTCCAAGATAATAGTGTTGATTTAGGGGTTTGCACAAGATTTACCAAATATTGGATTTGATCGAGTGAAAGCTTCGAATAACATTGGGTTTTGTCGAAGGAGTAGCGTGATACAGTGAATCATTTGGAAATCTTCAGACACAGAAATACGCAATTGGATTCGATCGAGTGAAAGTTTTGAAGAATAGGGGTTCTTGCAAAGGAGTATCATGATATGGTGAATCAATTTGTGTTAAATGGATACTTGGTCAAGCTCAAGATCAAGGGAAGAGTAAGGGTTAGAATCAACATAAAATGTTGGGTTTGTAGGGATGCATTGCTACATTTCTCTTGTGTTGAAACTGGAAAAAAATATAGAGTCGCCCACCTTAATTTTTATCCTATGGAAGAGAATATAAAGGATAACCCTAATTTGGTCAGAGATTCTAAGTTGTTTGACTCGTTCTTAGATGAAGGGAATGTGTTAGGCACCCCTCATCTACCTTGCTCACAAGGATACCAGGGTTTAGAATTATGGTTTAAGAGATATGGTTTTAATTTTTTATTAGGGGAACTCGCCACGATTTTATTCGTATGCCTACGTATCCTCTTAGGAGGAATTAGAGTCCCAATTCGTAGTTCGCAGTGAGTTGGTGTTTTTTATGGGTCGTAGAAATATATTGAGTTCTCCTTGAACCAAGCCTGGGTTTTTAAATTGCGGAATCATAAATGTAGCTCGCAGTCAACAAAATATATTAATACAACCCTTTTTAAAAATAAATATAAATTGATTGAGTTAGTGAAACATGTTAGTATTTATTGGTTAACTATTTTTTATTATACGATGTAATTATGAAAATGAATTTGAATAGAAAAATATTTAATGCAAATATGTTAATATTTTAAAAAGATTTAGTTAACAAATAATTATTTTATAATTTTATTAAAAAGTTATCAAATATATTATTTTTATTAAAACTATTATAATTAGTTATTAATTATGAAAAAATAGTTTCATATAATAAATTATATAAAAAATGAATAAAGTTAAAACAAATTATTTAATTTAAACAAAAACGTAGTGAGGTGTATTCTAGTTTAAGGCAGTGAAATGAAGGACTATTGGTTTCTAGATCCAGATATTGGATCTAGGCCCAATTGTATACATGGGATTGTTTGGTTCAGTACAAGTGGGCACATGTGGTTATAATGGGCATGTGAATTTGTGAGCCTCTGATTGTGATCGTGCGATGATGGAAGTAGAGGGTGTACGATAAAGATCCATGGAGTCGCAAGGGATCACGTGGCCAGATGTTGGTCACGTATCCCCAACCAGTATATGCAGAGGGAGTTATAACAATTTTCATTCACTCTTTTTTGTTTCATTTCATTTCCCTCTCAGTTCTCTCTCTTATCGTCTCTTTCTCTTCTCAGACAACAAAAAACAACCACAACCCCTCCCCATGAAACCCTAGGGGCGACTCAACCCACCAAACCCAGATTCTCGTGCGCCACAAACATTAAACAACCCTAAATCCTTAATCTAACCCCCAAATCATAACAAGAAATGCATCAAAAACCATCAAGCTAAGTTAGAGATTACCTTTCGATGCCTTGAGTTTTTTTTTGCGTTTGTTTTGATTCCCCTTCTAAGCTCTTCCTTTTCCGATTCGTAGGTGGAAGATGGTAGTGATGATTAAGGCGACGATTTGAGGGAGGTGGCTTGGAGAGATATTAGGGTTTCATATGTTGAAACCCTATATCTAGGACATAGGCGGTATGGGTCAAAGGCTTCAAGCAGCGGCAGTGATCCTCTTTTTCTCCTCAACTTCTTCCTTTTTGTCTAGTAAGAAAATTTCTGGTCCTTTGCAATTTCCCCCCCGGTCCCCTGTTTATAGAGTTTTTTAGGATTTTATAGAGTTAAGGTTAGTACGAATTAGGAAATAATAGATAGATTTACGTTATAGTTTTGATTGATTGAAGATTTTTAGATTTGATTCAAATTTGCTTGTAAATTAATTCTTTTAGGGTTGTTGATGTTAATGTATTGGGACAATTTATTGTGCTTAGATTCACGTTTGTAAATGTTTCAATCTCTTGATGTAGAAATATATTTTCTGATTTTTGTCATGATTCTGCAAGATTTGATAAATAAGATTTCGCTGCAATCTGGAATTTGGGCTTGATTTAATCCAATTAGGGTTGATTAGGTTAAAAAATTCGGGTTTGTGTTACTGATGCTTTGGAGGCGCCGCTTGCTGGTGTTGTTTTATGGATTAGGGTATTGTCCCTAGTTGACTCGGCCAACATAATAAATTAGACAAAAACCTTAATAACATAATAATTTAGAAAATAAACAAAGTTGACTCGGTCAACTTTTCTTCAATCCTTGTAATAAAAGTAATAATAACAATGTTTTAATAATAATAACAAGAAAAATGATAATTAAAATGAAATAGTAATATCTAATAATAATGGAATCAAGAACAATAATATAAATGTTTAAACGATAATAATATATATTGATACATTTGACTTCAGTTATCTCTAAAAAATGGACACAAAATAACTATTAATATGGGCCCCAGAAATATTGGTGGACTGGACCCAAATTCATACACCTCTATATTTTGTATTGTGTTTTATTAAGCCCAATTAAGTACACGCATATCACCCTTTATTATTGCATCCGATCACAAAACTTTAATGGCCCATCATACTTTGATGCCCCACTTGAGTAATGAGTTCTGAAGTATGCACCCCCTTTTAATCATTTAAAATGTACTTTTTAAAATAACCTAATGGGCCATCAAATATTGATGGTCTATTTTGGAACAATACACCTTTCTTTCATGAATTTAAACCCCATAAAAATAATATTCAAAATAAACAAATTGAACGATATGATTAAAGATTGAGAAACATAGTAACATTGAAGTAATATAACCATTGAAATTTATAGGGCAAGTTTGGGGTATAACAACTGCCCCTATTTAATTACTTTTGATTGAATAGTGCGAGAATACGCATCTTGCATGCTCTGATCATAAGTTTATTAAATATTGGAAGACCCCATAATTTGTCAGAAAGATTATAAGGATACGCTGTACAATGTCCCCATTGGTATGAAAAGTAGGCACATATGATGATGTATCATCTTACCAGTGTTTGAACCAAAGTTTCAATTCAACTTAGATATGACACAAATAAATCGTCAGTATCTAAGAGAGATTGTAGATTCTTGCATATTTACCATACCCTAGTGGGTAAAATAATACAATTTTGAAAATCTGGCTTACTAATGCTTGGAGACTAATATAGTAAGCTTAACATAGATTTTGTATATTCATCACAACCTAGGGGATGAATAACATAGAGCTTGATAATGCATTTCTGCATGGAGGCTAACACAATGAATTATGTCGCTGGGAAAGATAACTTATTGTTGCTTCGAGACTAACGCAATGAGCCAAAGATTTTCATATACCTACCACATCTAAGAGGATAGATAATACGGGCTTAAAACTAGATATATGGAACTTGGAAAGACGATGCCGATTGTGTCATCCCTCAACCAAGACTCAATAAGAAAATGAAATATGGTAGATTTGAAGCGATGAACCCCAAATTCACTAATGATGTTGATTGTATCGCCCTCAACCAAGACTATCAATCATGAGGAAAATAAACCCTAAATTCAGCGATGATGCCTGTTGTGTCAGCCCTCAAACAAGACTATCAACATGAAGAAATAAACCCCAAATTCATTGATGATTTCGGTTGTGTAGCCCTCAACCCAGACTATCAACATGAAGAAATAAACCCCAAATTCATTGATGATATCGGTTGTGTAGCCGTTAACCAAGATTGTCATCATGAAAAAATAAACCCCAAATTCATCGATGATGTCAGTTGTGTCTATTTTATAGGATCTCGCGGGGTAAACACAAGAAGATATGATTACATGAATGATATGTAGATCAAATGTTTTCAAGGATCTCGCGGGGTAAACACAAGAAGATATTAGAAGTTGAACTTTGATCACAACTTTGATTGGAGAACTTCGTATCAGTGGATGTCCTTCCCCGAGAATCAAGCTCACCATGTCAGGTGGGTCATAGCTGTTGACTTAAGTTATCATGCTTTGGTATTTGACATCATTTGGTTAGAGGAGAATAAATCCTCTTGCCCATTTGATAGACATCTGGTTCAACATGACCCTGCATCATAGGCCCTTGATATCCTTGAAATGGTTATTGAAAATTCTATGGTATGATGTTATGTACAAGTATGCAAAGCAAACAAGTCGTTATGTACATATAATCATATACACACAAAGAAGACAAGTCCTTAGGTTTAGGCTTGTATGGAGTTTTATAGGTAAGTACCCTCTTGAAGTTTAGTTGGATCAACCTGTCCTATAAAGTAATCGGGTTCTAGGGAATCTCAATATCACTGATCTTTCTTCATCGGACATTGTTTCAACACAAGCCTCTTTCTTAGCGACCGAAATATCCTGAAAGTCCGATCTCAATGAGCGTAGCATCGAGTATCAACGAATCTTTGATCGGAACCAAAGTCGGATATCTCACTACTTCCTAATGGCCAAGTTGTTCAATTAAAGGTTCTAAGGTCAGTTAGTGCTTCATGAGACCACACAGCGGCCCCGTATTCTCCTTGACTAACTCAAGGGCTACCGGTACCAACAAATGTGTCACACTAAGTGTAGCCATCGCATCAACCATATCAGTATATGCCGCACAACCCCCACGATTTATTGCTATTTACCTAAAAGGTGCCTCAGATCCGGGTGTAGGATCTTTAACAATAACCCAAACAAGGACCCAAACATGTAAAGCAAGCAATTCAAACAAGGAAAACAAGTAAATGTGATCTAGCTCTAAGGTAACCCCACTTTTAAACAGGTTCCCCAGCAGAGTCGCCAGTTCTGTAATACGGTTGGAGAACTGACTTGGTTGTTTTGCGTTTGATCACAACTGTTGCGGATAGAAAGAGTCGCCGCCGACTTTTCTTTTATCCAATAAGGAAAGGGTGAAAAGAACAGGAAAGACCTTTGAGATTTTTTCTTGAGTCTGGGGGGTAGATTATGAAAAGGGAAGGTGTTAGCACCCTTTTCATCTATAGTTATCTATAGGCTCTTAGTTGCTTGCTAGATCACTTTTGCTTTGTTTGAAAATATACTTTGTGGTGTAAGTTTGAAAATATTTTGCAAAATGCCTTTGTTGCAGCTAACTTTGTAATAATTCTCGTCTCTATAAGAATGCATACAAAGTGTTGATTTTGAAAATAGTTCAAAGAGATGTTTGTTTTTTGAAGATGTTTTGAAAGTGTAAGTGTGGAAATGATTTTTGTTTGATGAGCAAGTAAATACGAGCGTCCTACCAACTCAAAAGGTCTATGTTCTTTTCCTCCTCCTTTAAATTTTGCTATCTTACCATTGATTTGGTAAGAAGCCCCATCGTTGGATGTGAAGGGACGGGCATGGGTCATCGTATAGTCATTGAAGGCAACCTATGAGACGTTTTAGCAATTTTCGTAAGGGACTAGATCGTTTACCGAAGGAAACATCGAGGGACATCGAGAGACTACAATCTTTTTATCGAGGGTCTTTGCTAAAATGCCCATATTCGAGAGACATGACTATTTTCTGAGGCAACAAGTCAGATTACCCTAGAGGTGCATGTGTGTGTAGTGTGTTTGATTGCATGCATTTAGTCTTGAATTTGGGTTGTCTACTTGTTGATTTTAACTCTTGCCATACACAACCTAATTACTAGCATTTTATATAAAAGCGGTAAATTGGGGAAAAATAAATATCCTACGCTATTACATTTTTTGGGGATGGGGTGTATAAATTTACAAATGGTGATTAGCAAGAAATTAAATCCTAATTATCTATTACAACCATATTGAATTTTGAATAATGTATAAGGAATATAATGTACAAGACAAAATGGAAAAAAAGGAATAGATTTGTTTTGTTTTTTTGTTAAGTAAATTTAATTAAAGAAAAGAAAACAAATAGAAAAATGTTTTTGGTCTTTTTCATTATAAGAAGTTAAATAAAATAAACTAAATAACTTAAACATATTTTTGGTGTTTTTGTGTAGAAAACAGTTTTTTTGTGTTTAAAACAAATTTTGTGTAGAAAACAGTTTTTGTGTTGTTTGGACTCAGGGCCTGTTTGTTAGTAAACAGGGGGGGGTCAGAAACATAAAAATGCCAAGGCCCAGCCAATGGAGGCCCAAGTGTATTTCCTGCAAACAAAACAAAGTGAGAAAATATGGAAAATGAACAAAATATCTTGCTGGGGCTTGAACCCAGGACCTTCTATAGAAATGCCTTTTGTGCACTATTTGTATCACTGGGGTGGTCTATTTCACTCGTTCATAAGGTAGCTTCGATTGGGTACAAATTGAACTCGTTTCTGAATGTTTGAAATTCCCAGCTTCTT